TTTTTATGCCAATATGGCACTTGAACTAAGGTTCATTTTTTTTTGTTTTTTTCCAGTCATGGGGCATGAACTCTGGGCCTGGGCGCTGTCCCTCAGCTCTTTAGCTTAAAGCTAGTGCTTTACCACTTGAGCCATAGCACCACTTCTGGTTTTTTCTGCTTATGTGGTTCTGAGGAATCGAACCCAGGGGCTCATTCATGCAAGTCAAGCACTCTACCACTGAGCCAACTTCCCAGCCCCAAGCTAAGAGTCTTATTGATTGTCCTGCCTGGGCTGGCTTTGAATCATGATCCTCAGATCTCAGTCTCCTGAGTAGCTAAGATTACAGGTGTGAGCCACCAGTGCCTGCCTTGGACTACAGGTTATGAATATATGAATGTTTATTTCCTGTTCTGTTATGTAGGTAATATAAGGGGAGGCTGGATGAAAAAAGTTAACTTCAACATAAATAAAAACACATGATTTCTTATAGCTAAGAAGTTTCTGGATCTTTTTGTTCTTCAGATCTATACTTTTTATTCCAGGGATGTCCAGGCATTGGGTAGGGAGAGTCTAGAGAGCAGATTATCCTGCCATCTCCTCAGAAAATACAAACATTGCCAGTGATTTCTGTATTTAGAGGCGATTTCCCTTTTTTTATTGTAAAAACACTGTACAGAAGGGTTACTTTTTTTTTTTTAACAATTTCCCTTTTATTTCATATCTTTCACACTACAAACATGCTAAAAAAGGAAAACAATACACAGACACATAGCTATTCCCTACCTCTACCAAGATGCTCAGTGTTATAACCTTGGTTATATATTCTTCTAGAATTTTTATTCATGTAAACATACACATGCATGTGTATATATATATTTATGCATATATATACACACATATAAAATATATAATGGAATAATACATTATACAATGTGCTTTCACTCAATATATCAAAAGCATTTCTACATATTAGAATTTCAGCTCCTTTTGGCTCTACCCTAGCCAAATGTTTTCACTTACCCATATGAAACATTAGACTTGATTTACACATGGTTTGTTTTTGGTTGTTGTTGGGTTTTGTTTTTGTCATTTTCCCAACAAACATTTATGTAGTGCTTTGTGTTGGTTTGGGTAGAGAAGGTAGAACCTCTCCTGTGTGTTGCGGCTTCCACACGTGCTCATTGTGGTTACTTCTGATGGGAGGAGGCATTGTTCTATGTAATGCCCTGCCATCCTTGTTGCTGGGGCTGTCCACGGAGACAGGTGTCCTGCTCAGAGCCCCGTCATGGTGGAAAGAGAGAGGAATCTGTTGCTCTGCCAGTAGAACTCTTGTAGCTCAGAAAGCCACATCATCTTGACGAATTAGGAGCCACTCTACAAGAATAGAAGTCACTGAGTTGATTGTTGGCTCTGAACTGCAAGACATGGCCCAGTATCATTAGCAGCACTTCCGTCTTTCTTGGGAGCCAATATGCTGATTTCTTTCACTAAGGCAAGGCAGACACCAGAATGGTTGTTTTAACCATTGTGGGGCTTGAACTCTGGGCCTGGGCCCTGTCCCTGAGCTCTTCAGCTCAAGGCAAGTGCTCTACCACTTGAGCCACAGCACCACTTCCAGTTTTCTGGTGGTTAATTGGAGATAAGAGGCCTATGGAATTTTCTGCCTAGGCTGGCTTTGAACCATGATCCTCAGATCTCCCCTCCCCCCCCCCCCCCACCCCAAGTAGCTAGGATTACTGGCATGAACCTTGACATCCGGCCTTTACCTGCTTTTTTTTTTTTTTTGTCGTAGGGCTTGATCTCTGGGCCTGGGCGCTGTCCCTCAGCTCTTCAGCTCAAGGCTAGTGCTCTACCACTTGAGCCACAGCGCCACTTCTGGCTTTTTCTACTTAAGTGGTGCTAAGGAATCAAAACCCAGGGCCTCATGTATGCAAGACAAACACTCTACCACTGAGCCACCTTCCCAGCCCTTCACATGCTTTTTAATGTCAGTAGTAGTGCTTGAACTTAGGGACCTCACACTGTCCTTTAGCTTTTCCAGTCAAGCCTGGGGACCTACCACTTGACCCATAGCTCCACTTCTGCCTTTTTGGAGTGTAATTGGAGTTAAGTGTTTCACAGACTTCCCCGCCTGGGCTAGGTTTCCATCGCAGTCCTCACATTTTATCTACAATTCACAAAAAGGCGAAGTAGAGATGTGTCTCAAGTAGTAGAATGCTAGCCTTGAGTAAAAAAAACCTCAGGGAGAGTGCACAGGCCCTGAGTTCAAGCCACAGGACTAGCACAGGCACACACACACAAACACACATAAAATGATGTCTTCAATCTACCTGAAATATTTGGGGTTTTTTTAGGGTTTTTTTTGTTTTTTTTTTTTTTTTTGGTCAGTTTTGGGGCCTGAACTCTGTCCTCAGCTCTTCAGCTCAAGGCTAGTGCTCTACCACTTGAGCCACAGTGCCACTATGGGCTTTTTCTGCTTATGTGGTGCTGAGTAATTGTACTCAGGGCCTCGTGCATACAAGGAAAGCATTCTACCACTAAGCCACCTTCCCAGCCCTGTTTTTCAGCTTGTAGCCTAAACTTATTCACTCAGAATACAGTTTATCAACCACAACTTAAAATTATAGTTTTCGCATTCATACCAAGATGCTTTGCAAGGTATTTTGTTCATTATTCAAAATAAATGAGTTAGCCATGCACCGGTGGCTCACACCTGTAATCCTAGCTACTCAGGAGGCTGAGATTTGAGGATCACTGTTCAAAGCCAGCCTGGGTAGAAAAGTCTGTGAGACTCTGATCTCCAATAAACCACTAGAAAACCTGAAGTGGCACTGTGGCTTGAGGTAGAGCGCTTGCCTTGAGCTAAAGAGTGCAGGGACAGCGCCCAGGCCAAGTTCAAGCCCTATGACTGACAAAAATAAATGAGTTAATACATGCTAAGTCTGTAAAACAGAGCCTGGTACTGAGTGCAAGCATTCAACATGTTACCTATTATTTTCATGAGACTCTGTCATTGTGATGTACTTTATGAGATAATTTACTTGTATTTTTGGGTTTTTAAAATTATTTTTTTATTTTTTATTTTTTAGGTCCAGTCGTGGGGCCTGAACTCTGGGCCTGGGAGCTGTCCCTCAGCTCTTCAACTCAAGGCTAGCACTCTACCACTTGAGCCACAGCGCCACTTCCGACTTTTTTCTTTTTCCTTATGTGGTGCTGAGGAATTGAACCCAGGGCCTCAGGCATGCAAGGCAAGCGCTCTACCACTGAGCCACCTTCCCAGCCCCACTAGTTTACTTGTAAAGCTGTCACCTAATAGGTTGTCAATTTGCCAGGCTCTTTCACATTTCTACTATGTAGCCAATATCTATTTCAAGAAGAAAATCCTTAGACAAATCAAACAAGCTGCTATAGGAAGGTATAGCTATAATATATATAATATATATATTTATATATATATTTATATATATATATAAATTTATAATTTATATATATTTATATATATATTTATATATATATATATATACTTTCCTATATATATATATATATAGGAAAGTATAGCTATTATATATTATAATATCATAATATATATTACATAATATATATTATATATAATATAGGAAAGTATAGCTATTATATATTATATAATATCATATATTATATGTTATAGTATATTACATAATATATATTATTATATAATATATATTATAGCTATACCTTCCTGTATGTATTCATGTATATGTATTTATACATGAATACATATACACACATGCATACATGTATATAAACACACACACACACACACACACATATATATATACTTTTTTTTTTGCTGGTCCTGGGTCTTTTTTTTTTTTTTTTGGTCAGTCATGGGGCCTGAACTCTGGGTCTGGATGCTGTCCTTCAGCTCTTCAGCTGTAGACTAGTGCTCTACCACTTGAGCCTCAGCCACACTTCCAGCTTTTTCTGCTTATGTGGTGCTGAGGAATCAAACCCAGGGCCTCATGCATGTGAGGCAAGCACTCTACCACTGAGATACATTCCCGGGCCCTGGTCCTGGGTCTTAAACTCAGGGCCTGGGCACTGTCCCTGAGCTGAGCGTCTTTTTTTTCCTTTTTTTTTCTTTTCTTTTTTTTGTCAGTCATGGGGCCTGAACTCTGCATTGTCCTCAGCCTAATGGAAGCACTGTACCACTGAGCCACCTTTCCAGCCCCCCCTCCTTTTTTTGTCAGTTGTGGGGTTTGAACTTTGGGCCTGATGCTATCCCTGAGCTCTTTAGCTCTACCAGATCACTTCTGGTTTTCTGGTGGTTAATTGGAGATCAGAGACTCAAGGATTTTCCTGCCTGGGCTGGCTTTGAACCGCAGTCCTTAGATCTCAGCCTCCTGAGTAGCTAGGATTACAGGCATGAGCCGAGCTTCTTTTGCTCAAGGCTAGCACTCTACTGCTTGAGCCACAACACCATTTCTGGCTTTTTCTGTGAATGTAGTACTGAGGAATCAAACCCAGGGTTTCGTGCATGCTAGGCAAGCACTCTACCATTAAGCCACATTCCAAGCCATATTGTTAGAATTTTTAAGAATCTAAGCTTCTTAGTCTTGGGAGATGCCTACTGCTTATAGAATATTAGAATTAAGTAAACCTAACTGGTATGTAATAGCCACATAATGAAAACCCTTAAAGATCGTGTTAAAGGTGGCTGATTATTCTAAATACACCAGCAAGCAAAAGACACTTATAAATGGAAGCTTTCATCTGTTATTTTTGTGACTGAAAAGAGATCAGTTTGGGTATATTGTGAGAAATGGATTTAAGAGTAGCAAAAAGAGACACAGAGCCAGCACTGGTGGTTCACACCTGTAATCCTAGCTACTCAGGAGGCTAAGATCTGAGGATGGCAGTTCAAAGCCAGCCCAGGCAGAAAAGTCCGTGAGACTCTTCTCCTAGTCATCTCTAGGTGAGATGACTAAGGTGACATTAAAGAAAGAAAAAAATATAAATTCCAGGGGTTAGGGTTAGGGGTTAGGATTTATATGACTTGGTGACTGACTGGATTGGAGAAACCCTGTCCCCCAGTGTGAATTCTCTGGTGTTGGGCAAGATGTGCATGCTGCCTGAAGCTCTTCTTGCATTCCTTACATTCATAGGGTCTCTCCCCAGTGTGTATCCTCTGATGCTGGGAGAGAGAGCCACAGTAACTGAAAGCCTTCCCACACACGTTACAGTCATAGGGTTTCTCTCCAGTATGAACTCTCTCGTGTCGAGTGAGGGATGAATCATTGCTAAAAGCCTTTCCGCATTTGATACATTCATAGGGTTTTTCTCCAGTATGAACTCTCTGATGCTGAGCGAGGTAGGTAATCTGGCTGAAAGCTTTCTTACATTGCTGACATTTGTAAGGTTTTTCTCCAGTGTGAATTCTCTGGTGCTGAGCAAGGTGTGAATTCTGGCTGAAGGCCTTCCCACACTCCTTACATTCATAGGGCCTCTCTCCCGTGTGTATTCTCTGATGTTCGGTCAGGTATGCACGTAGGCTAAATGCTTTCCCACACACATTGCATTCGTAAGGTTTCTCTCCTCTATGAGCTCTGTGGTGCTGGGCAATAGAGGACCTATTGCTGAATGCTTTCCCACATACAATACATTCATAGGGTTTCTCTCCAGTGTGAACTCGCTGATGCTGGGCAAGGTAAGCAAACTGGCCAAAGGCTTTCCTACATACCTTACATTCATAAGGCTTTTCTCCAGTGTGAACTCTCAGATGTTGAAGGAGATGTGCATTCTGACTAAAGGCTTTATTACACTCTTTACATTCATAGGGTCTCTCTCCAGTATGAATTCTGTGGTGTTGGACAAGGTTGGATCTATGGCTAAAGGCTTTCCCACATTCTGCACATATATAGGGTTTCTCCCCAGTATGGACTCTTTGATGAAGCGTGAGGGATGAGCTCTGGGTGAAGACTTTATCACAGTAATTGCATTTCAAAACTTTCTTCTTTGCATAGACACCCTCGGGCTGAACAGTCAGGGAAGTGTTTTGAACAGTGTTCTGCCATGTGTCATGGTTATATACTTTCTCCTCTTTTGGGATTGTCGGTTGTATGGGAAGCAGAATGTTATGATGGAAACTTCCCAAAGATTTGTTAAAATCTTGTTCTTGTTTGTTAAGAAGGGCTTCTTCGTAAGTGACTGTTTCTTTTTTACAACTTGTCTTCTCATTTCCTGGTTGTCCCTCCAAATTGCCCTCACATTTACACTCTTCTTTTAAGCTGGAGTAGTCAAGGCCAATGTCTGCCAATTTTCCTGTAATCTTCTGAGATGGCTGTGCTTGACAAAGCTCCTGCTTAGGGGCAGATTCTTCAGTCTCACCCATAGATTCCCATTCTGAAAATTGAAAGTAAGAAACATGTCTCCTCTATTGTATATGAGAAAGTACATTCATAAATGTCCTTGTGTAAAGTCAAGTGTGAATTTTTTTTGGGGGGGTCCGGTCGTGGGGCCTGAACTCTGGGCCTGGGCGCTGTCCCTCAGCTCTTCAGCTCAAGGCTAGCGCTCTACCACTTGAGCCACAGTGCCACTTCCGGCTTTTTTCTTTTTGCTTATGTGGTGCTGAGGAATTGAACCCAGGGCCTCATGCATGCAAGGCAAGCGCTCTACCACTGAGCCACTTCCCAGCCCCTCAAGTGTGAATTTTTTTTTTTTTTTTTTTGTCGGTCGTGGGGCTTGAACTCTGGGCCTGGGCGCTGTCCCCCAGCTCTTCAGCTCAAGGCGAGCGCTCTACCACTTGAGCTACAGCGCCACTTCCGGTTTTCTGGTGTTTTATTGGAGATAAGAGTCTCATGGTCTCTCCTGCCCGGGCTGGCTTTGAACCGCGATCCTCAGATCTCAGCCTCCTGAGTAGCTAGGATTACAGGCGTGAGCCACCAGCGCCCGGCTTAAGTGTGAATTTTTAATAGCAAATAAAACCCAAAGAGAATTGCTTTTCCTAGTTCCAAAGTGAACAGGATGAGAAACTAGAAATAGATCATACAGATATATATGGAGTAATGACTGGAAGTAAAGGGAAATCAGCATAGGAAATAACAAAAGAACTTTGAGTAATCATCATGCTTATAGCTGTTTGATTCAGGACTATTATTTACCCCATACCAGGTACTGTTCTTGATGCTTCCAATATATTAAAGCAATGATCCTTAACTTCAAGGCCTTATTTTCATAGAGAAATCAGAAAATAAGTAAATTTTATTGCATATTAGAATTATCCAATACTGAAAAAAATAAAACAGGATAAAGAGATCAGAAGTCCTAATGAAGTCAAAGGTTAGGAATTACTAATTTTACTTTTAAGCAAAGATTTGAGGGAAGTAAAAAAGTTACTCATTTAGTTAAAAAAGTTACTCTGTTTAGAGGCTCGGGAGGTAGCTGAGTGGTAGAGTGCTTGCCTTGCATGCATGAGGCCCTACGTTCGATTCCTCAGCACCAAATAAACAGAAAAAGCTGGAAGTGGCACTGGAAGTGGTAGAGTGCTAGCCTTGAGCTGAAGAGCTGAGGGACAGCACACAGGCCCAGCATGCAAGCCCCACGATGACCAAAAAAAAAAAAGTTACTCTATTTAGTTAAAAGTTACTTTTCTTTTTCCAGTCCTGAGCTTCAACTGAGGGACCTGGACATAGACCCTGAGCTTTTGCTCAAGGCCACCAACCCAACCACTTGAGCCATAGCACCACTTCTGGCTTTTTCTGTATATGTGGTACTGAGGAATAGAATCCATGGCTTCATGAATGCTAGGCAATCACTCTAACACTAAGTCATAATCCCAGCCCCCTGAACATTTTTGGTCAAGCTACCACTCTACCATGTGAGACAAAGCTCCACTTCTAGCTTTTGGTTGGAGATAAGAGTCTCAAGTAGTTTCCTGCCTACGCTGATTTTGAACTGTGATCCTCAGATCTCAACCTCTTGAATAACTAGGATTATAGTTGTGTACATCTGTTGCCCAGCTAAGGTATTCTTTCTGTAGAGATTTTTCAACAGCCGCAATAGCAGTAATAAATTTCCCTTTCTTCTTTTAAGATAAAGGCCATTATGCTCTCATTCACCATTTTCTACTCAAGGATGGCACTCTACCATTTAGTCCCCACACTTCAAATTCTGAGTTTTTGCTGGCTATTTGGAGATGTGAGGCTCAAGGATTTATCTGCCCTTGCTGGCTTTGAATATGGATCCTCAAATCTAAGCCTCTTGAGTAGGTAAGATTACAGAGGTAAGCCACTGTCACCCAGCTAATTTTTTATTACTTAATCAAAGAAGAAGCTATATAGATGTTTGTCCTATTATTTAAACTACATATATTTGCATGCATTATTTATTTATTTAGCCAGTCCTGGGGCTTGAACTCAGGGCCTGAGCACTGTCTCTAAGCTTCTTTTACTCAGCACTCTATCACTTGAGCCACAGCACCACTTCTGGCTTTTTCTGTTTATGTGGTGCTAAAGAATTGAACCCAGGGCATTGTGCATGCTAGGGAAGCACTCTACCACTGAGCCACATTCCCAGCCCTAGTTTACTTAATAAACCTGAATCATAATGTTCGATACTATAGTTTCACATCAACTTCTTTTTCATAGAAAAGTAAAAATTTGACAGGCATTGATGGTTTGAATCTATAATCCTAGCTACTTAGGAGGCTGAGATCTGAGGATTGAGGTTCAAAGCCAGCCCAGGCAGGAAAGTCCATGAAACTCTTATTTCTAATAAACTATTCAGAAAACTAGAAGTGGCGCTGTGGCTCAAGTGGTAGAGTGCTAGCCTTGAGCTGAAGAGCTGAGGGACAGTGCCCAGGCCCAGAGTTCAAGCCCCACGATGAACTAAAAAGAAAAAAAAAAAAGAAATTGTCCTATAGCAGATAGTATAAATCATCAGTTCTATTATGTCTCCTGTGTCCATCTGAAAATCCTTCCCATACACAAACCTAAACTTTTACCCTTTTCTCCCTCAACTGTTCTCTAGCTGCTGATGGTTTTTTGTTGTTGTTGGTCATGGGGCTTGAACTCACAACCTGCTACTGTCCCTGAGCTTTCTCACTCAAGGCTAGCACACTACCACTTTAAGCCATAACTCCACACCATTTTTCTGGTGGTTAACTGAGGATAAGAATCTTACCAACTTTCCTGCGTGGGCTGGCTTCAAAGCACTATCTTCAGATCTCTCAGCCTCCTGAGTAACTAGGATTATAGGCATGATCCACCAGAGCCTGGCTGGTCATCTTTTTTTTAATTTTATTTATTTATTTTTTTAATCTTTTTGGGGGGTCCAGTGGTGGGGCCTGAATTCTGGGCCTAGGCGCTGTCCCTCAGCTCTTTAGCTCAAGGCTAGCGCTCTACCACTTGAGCCACAGTGCCACTTCCGGCTTTTTTTTTTTTTTTTTTTTTTTTTTTGCTTATGTGGTGCTGAGGAATCAAACCCAGGGCCTCATGCATGCAAGGCAAGCGCTCTACCACTGAGCCACCTTCCCAGCCCATCTTTTTTTTTTATTATTATTAAAAGCCATCATCAACTCCCTGTAACATAGACTTCTCTTCATCTCACCTTTTTTTCTGAGCTTCCATTGTATCATTTTTTTCTTTTGTTGGTCATGGGACTTGAACTCTGGGCCTGGGCGCTGTCCCTCAGCTCTTCAGCTCAAGGCAAGCGCTCCACCACTTGAGCTACAGTGCTACTTCCAGTTTTCTGGTGGTTTTATTGGAGATAAGTGTCTCACGGACTTTTCCTGCCCAGGCTGGCTTTTCACCGTGATCCTCAGATCTCAGCCTCCTAGGATTACAGGCATGAGCCACTGGTGCCTGGCTGTATCATCTTTCTTTTTTTTTGCCAGTCATGGCACCTGAACTCTGGGCCTGGGCACTGTCCCTCAGCTTTTCAGCTCAAGGCTAGTGCTCTACCACTTGAGCCACAGCACCACTTCCAGCTTTTTCTGCTTATGTGGTGCTGAGGAATCAAACCCAGGACCTCATGAATGCAAGGCAAGCACTCTACCACTGAGCCACCTTCCCAGCCCCTGTATCATCTTTCAATATCTACACTTATGTTGTTTTTTTACCAGTTCTACGGCTTGAACTCAGGGCCTGGGCACTGTCCCTAAGCTTCTTTTGCTCAAGGATAGCACTTTACCACTTGAGCCACAGAGTCACTTCTGGCTTTTTCTGTTGATGTGGTACTGAGGAATTGAGACTTCCTGAATGCTAGGCAAGCACTCTACAACTAGGCCACATTCCCAACCCCACATTGTCTCATTTGAGAGATGACAAGCACACAGAGAAGTTAAGCAACCTAAAATTTCACTGATGTGTGTGTTGGGTAGCATTTAAGTCTGGTACTTCATTTACAGCTCTCAGTATGGATCAAAACTTCATCAAATCTTTTTTTTTTTGGTGCTGGTACTGGAGTTTTAACTCTGGGCCTCATGATCTCACTTGGCTTTTTTGCTCACAGCTGGCTCTCTAACCATTTAAGTCACATCTCTAGTTTTGAAAAAGTTTGTTTTTTTGTTTGTTTTGTTTTGTTTTTGTCATGGGACTTGAACTCTGGGCCTGGGTGCTGCCCCTTAGCTCTTCAGCTCAAGGCAAGTGCTCTACCACTTGAGCCATGGTGCCACTTCCAGCTTTTTTGAACCCAGGGCCTCATGCATGCAAGGCAAGCACTCTAGCACTGAGCCACCTCAGCCCTGCAGAGGCTTTAAGTCTAGACAATGGGTCAACAATAGACCTGTATACTGTCAGCTTCACAAATATGAACTGTTTGTACTACAGAGAACAAGGCATAGAGATAGACAAATGAATTATTGGGAAGGAGATTAACTGTAAAAGAGAGTTTAGAATGTCAAATGTGAGAACATTCTAGAAGGCCCATTTTTCCATAAAGCTGTAGAACATCTGAGAACATATCACAATGCAGTCTGATGGGTGAGTAGGTGACCAAGTCAAGCTGAGTTGTCACCTGTAAGGTTTCTACTTTTCTATTTCTTCTTCACTTACCTGAGCACACATCATTTGTCAGCTTTTTAGCTACCATCCATGGCTCTTTTCCTTGTTCCAACATTGATATCATACTTGGTTTACACAAGCAAAGACCTACATACATGAAAGGAAATATTATTTGGTCATGTTATGATAGCCTAGAATTCGCATTGAAATTCTTTGACCAATAGGGAAGAGGGAGGTTACAAGAAAATTGTATAAAGGACATGTATTACAGGACCGCATAAAGTTTCAGACATAGGTCAATAATGTACAGCAGATTGTAGGCCAAGCTTTGCAGATATTCTCCAAAAGTTACAATGGTGGTAGCAAAGAACTTTTTTTTTTTTTTGGCAGTCCTGGGTCTTGAACTCAGGATCTGGGCTCTGTCCCTGAGCTCTCTGTGCTCAAGGCTAGTTCTCTACCACTTGAGCCACAGCGCCACCTCTAGCTTTTTCTGAGTAATTTATTGGAGATAAAAGAGTCTCATGGATTTTCCTGCCTGGGGCATTTTAGAACTATGATCCTCAGGTCGTAGGGCTTGAACTCTGGGCCTGGGTGCTATCACTAAGCTCTTCAGCTCAAGGCTAGCACTCTACCACTTGAGCTACAGTGCTACTTCTGGTTTTCTGTTGGTTTGTTGGAGATAAGAGTCTCATGGACTTTCCTGCCCAGGCTGCCTTTGAACGTGACACTTAAGACCTCCTAAGTAGCTAGGATTACAGGTGTGAGGCACCAGCGCTGGCGTAAATAACTTTTTTTTTTTTTGTCGGTCGTGGGGCTTGAACTCTGGGCCTGGGCGCTGTCCCTCAGCTCTTCAGCTCAAGGCGAGCGCTCTACCACTTGAGCTACAGCGCCACTTCCGGTTTTCTGGTGGTTTATTGGAGATAGGAGTCTCACGGTCTTTCCTGTCTTTCCTGCCCGGGCTGGCTTTGAACTGAGATCCTCAGATCTCAGCCTCCTGAGTAGCTAGGATTACAGGCGTGAGCCACCAGCGCCCGGCTGTAAATAACTTTTTATGATTGGAAATCCAAGCCCATCTGCTGGTGATTCACACCTGTAATCCTAGCTATTCAGGAGGCTGACATCAGAGGATGGCAGTTTGAAGCCAACCTGGGCAAGAAAATCCACAGACTTTTACTCCAATTAATCACCAATAAGACAGAAGTAGAGCTGTACTTCAAGTGGTAGAGTACTACCACTACAAAAGTTCAGGGACAGCACTCTGACCCTAAATTCAAGCCTCAGGACCAGCAGACACACAAAACAAGTCCAATTTTACAAGAGATTTCCTTACCCAGTGAGAGCAAGTTCCTATAGTTCTCCATCATCACAGAACCATGCAAATGTCTTTGAGAAGAATCCAGGTAATCCCATTCCCCTTCGGAGAAGTCTACAGCCACATCTCTAAAAGTCACCAACCCCTGTAGTGAAATACATGAAATGATGCTGGACACTGGTAGCTCCCACCAGACACATCAACTGAGAGTCATTGGCTTATACCTGTAATTCTAGCTACTCAGAAGTCTTGAGATCTAAGGACTGAGGTTTGAAGTTCAGCCATACTTCATTTTTTTCCCCACAGGAATTACTTTGTTATTTATTTTGTGAAAATTTTTATTGTTATTATAAAGGTGATATACAGAATGGTTATAGTTACATAAGTCAAGTCAAAAGGACATTTCTTTTTGGATAATGTCACTCTTTCCCTCACTCTCTCTCAATTTTTACCTCCCAACCCTACCCACAAAGATAGATAGTTAATTTTTATTATTTATTTATTTATTGTCAGTTGTGGGGCTTGAACTCTGGGTTTGGGCGCTCTCCCTGTGCTCTTCAGCTCAAGGTGAGTGCTCTACTGCTTGACCTACACCACCACTTCTGGTTTTCTAGTGGTTTATTGGAGATAAGTGTCTCACGGACTTTTCTGCCCGGGCTGGCTTTGAACCGTGATCCTCAGATCTTAGCCTCAGTAGCTAGGATTACAGGTGTGAGCCACTGGCGCACAGCTCGATATATAGTTAATTTTCAACATAGTGTCTAGTGAGTACCACTCCTGCATTTGTTCACCTTTGTGCCTCCATTTCTGTGCCCCCTTACCCTCCCAACGACAGATAAATGAACAAACAAGAAAATGGAAGAGAAAACAACAACAAAAGAAAAAAAATTTCCATCTCTTGGAGTTCATTTCGATAAACATTATTTTATATGATCAGAGTTTGTTTTTTGTTGTCTCCCTTCTACCACTAAAAGGTAAGCTCCATAGGGCAGAGTAAGTTTTTGCTTTGATCATGCTACATCTGCAGTTACAAAACAGCATCTGGCACACGAGTCACTCAAATATTCCTTAGTAAAATAAATTAATTAATTATGTGCTTGCAAATTTCAAGAAGCTAAAAAGTGATGAAAAGTTACATTCACAAAGGACTTGCTATATTATCACTGGAAACTGGGCTAGAAAAGGAACATGAAATCCATTAAAACTTGAACATTTGGGGGCTGGGAAGGTGGCTCAGTGGTTAAAGCGCTTGCCTTGCATGCATGAGGCCCTGGGTTCGATTCCACAGCACCACATAAGCAAAAAGGAAAAAAACCGGAAGTGGCACTGTGGCTCAAGTGGTAGAGCGCTAGCCTTGAGCTGAAAAGCTGAGTTACAGCGCCCAGGCCCAGAGTTCAGGCCCACGACCGACCCAAAAAAAAAAAAAAAAAACGAACATTTTTCTGAGCACTGGTAGCTCATACTTGTAATCCTAGCTACTGAGGAGGCTGAGACCGCATGATTGCAGTTCAAAGCCAGACCAGACAGGAAACTCCGTGAAACTCTTATCTCCATTTCACCACCAGAAAACTGGAAGTAGTGCTATGGCACAAAGTGGTAGAGTGCTAGCCTTAAACAAGAGAACTCAGGGACAGTGCCTAGGTCTGGATTTCAAGGCATACGACCAACAAAAAAAATTTTTTTTCAACACTTTGTTGGAAAGTTGCCTTTCAGCAGCAGAGTGTCTGCCTAGCAACTTTGAGACTCTGAGTTTAAACCTCAGTGCCACAATTAATAAATAAGGAAATAAATACAACCCAATACTTCAATCCAGCGCTCTTAAATTTTGTGTAAAGAAAGGGAGTTCTGGGCTGGAAAGGTGGCTCAGTGGTAAAATGCTTGCCTCACATACATGAAGCCCTGGGTTCCATTCCTCAATACCACATAAACAGAAAAAGCTGGAAGTGGTGCTGTGGCTCAAGTGGTAGAGCACTAGCCTTGAGCTGAAGAGTTCAGGGACAGCACCCAGGCCCAGAGTTCAAGCCCCACAACTGGAAAAAAAAAGAGGTGGGGGGGGGGGGGGTGGGAGTTCCAGGCTGGGACTACAGTTCATTTGGTAGAGTGCTTGCTTGCCTAGTATGCATGAAGTCCTTAGTTCAATTCCTCAGTACCTCATAAACAGAAAAAGTCAGAAGTGATGCTGTGGGCTCAAGTGGTAGAATGCTAGCCTTGAGCAAAAGAAGTTCAGGGACAGTAACCAAGCCCTGAGTTCAAGCACCAGGACTAGCACAAAAAAAAAAAAAAGAAAGAAAAAGGGGGGCTGGGAAGGTGGCTCAGTGGTAGAGTGCTTGCCTTGCAATGCATGAGGCCCTGGGTTCAGTTCCTCAGCACCACATAAGCAAAAAGAAAAACGCCGGAAGTGGCGCTGTGGCTCAAGTGGCAGAGCGCTAGCCTTGAGCTGAAGAGCTGAGGGACAGCACCCAGGCCCAGAGTTCAGGCCCCACAACCAGACCCCCCCCCCCAAAAAAAAAAAAGAGAAAGGGAGTTCCATTATAATTTTGCTTTTGTCTACAGGGACTAGGCAAAGTTCCTTAAAATCTTGGAAAAAACATGGTGTGCGTGGCTCATGCCTATATTCTTAGCTACTCAGGAGAATGAGATCTGAGGATCATAGTTTGAAGTCAGCCCAGGCAAGAACACTCATGAGCCTCATCTTCAGTTAACCCCTAGAAAACTAAAAGTGGTGCTGTGTCTCAAAGTAGTAGAGTGCTAACCTTGAGCAAGAGAATTCACAGACAGTATTCATGTCCTGAGTTCAAGCCCTATAACCTACAGAAAAAAAAAAAAAAGGGCTAGGAAGGTGGTCAGTGGTAGAGTGCTAGCCTCGCATGCATGATGCCCTGAGTTAGATTCCTCAGCACTATATAAACAGAAAAGGCCAGAAGTGGCGCTGTGGCTCAAGTGGTAGAGCACTAGCCTTGAGCTGAAGAGCTGAGGGACAGTGCCCAGGCCCAGAGTTCAGGTCCCATGACCAACAAAAAATAAATAAAAGCTGGGAAAGTGGCTTAGTGGGCAAGTGCTCACCTAGCATGCATGAAACCCTGGGTTCGATTCCTTAGTACATACAAAGAAAAAGCCAGAAATGGTTCTGTGGCTCAAGTGGTAGAGTGCCAGCCTTAAACAAAAGAAGCTCAGGAACAGTACCCAGGCCCTGAGGTCAAGCCCCAGGACTGGCAAAAACATAAAATAAATGTATCCAGGCATCGGAGGCTCACCCCTGTAATCCTATCTACTCAGGAGGCTGAGATCTGAGGATCGTAGTTCAAAGCCAGCCCGGGGCAGGAAAATCCATGAAACTCTTATCTCCAATAAACCACCAGAAAACCAGAAGTGGCGCTGTAGCTCAAGTGGTAGAGCACTAGCCTTGAGCTGAAGAGCTGGGGGACAGCGCCCAGGCTCAGAGTTCAAGCCCTGCGACCGACAAAAAATAAAATAAAAATAAATAACATTTGGAGAAAAAGACTGTCTGTTCTGAACATTTTCTTGTCATCATTCTTGAAATAACACAGTACAAGTATTTGCATTATTTACCTTGTATTAAGTATTACAAGTAATCAAAGATTATTTAAACTTAGTACATGGGAAGATGTGCATAGTATATATATATATATATATATATATATATATAAGTTTTATATATGTTTTATATAAGGGACTTAAGATTATATTAAGCTCAGTCGGCCCTTCATTTCATTTATCCGAATAAGATAGAAATCTAGTCAGAATTTTGAAAAGCAACATAGTTGGCTACAGGGAAGTGTTTAAGCAAGAAGGAAATTTAATGTCTGTGTTTGAAAAACAAGAAACTATTTCAGAAAAGAGAAAATTCCAACTCACCTGGCTCATGGCTTTAAGAAGTCCAACAGCTACTTTTTGTTCCTCTTCACTAGACAACAGCAAATAACTAAAATGGAGAAGAGAACATAATAAACTGGACCTATCTTGCAGCATGCAGGATTAATATTCTAGATTTTTCAGGCTTCTCTTTCCTATTGTTGCAACCTTCCCTCCAATACAGAGAGCATAATGGAAACTTAGCAATTTGTGCACGATTTTTTTGGGAGGGGGGGTCCACTCGTGGGGCCTGAACTCTGGGCCTGGGCACTGTCCCTCAGCTCTTCAGCTCAAGGCTAGCGCTCTACCACTTGAGCCACAGCACCACTTCTGGCTTTTTTCTTTTTTCTTTGTGGTGCTGAGGAATTGAACCCAGGGCTTCGTGCATGCAAGGCAAGTGCTCTACCACTGAGCCACCTTCCCAGCCCAATTTGTGCACGATTTTATCCACGGATTAATAATCTTTTATTTTTTGTGTGCTAGTACTAGGATCTGATCTCAGGACCTAGGCGCCGTCCCTGAGTTTTTGAGCTCAAGGCTAGCTCTGTACCACTTGAGCCACAACTCCATTTAAGGCTTTTTGCTGGCTAACTGGAGATAAGAATCTCACAGATTTTAGTGCCCCAGCTGGCCTTGAACCACAATTCTCAGATCTCAGCTTCCTGACTAGGCTTACAGGTATGTGCCACCAGCACCTGGCCATATGCCAATTTTTTAACAATAGAGTTTCAGATGTTACAAAAATAGACTAAACAATGAAATGTTACATAAAACTGATATAGCAAGATCAAAGTTCTGCTGAACTCCACGGCTCCTCTCCGGTAGAGATCAAGTTTGGAAGTTCATTGGCATCACATGGGTTTGAAAACATTCTGGAGGTGGGGGACGAGCGACAGACAGTCTCAGACCCCTTTCAAATCCAAAGTCTGACGCAACGTCAACCAGTGTCACTTACGCCACAATTAAAGGGTCACCAACGACACCCACAGCCACAAGCCTCAAATACTCTAGCAGTAATCCAGAGGCCAAGCGTGGCGGCGCCGGGCAGAACTACACATAAAGCCTTGCTCAGCCTCACCCTCTACGCCAAAATCCCGCTCCCTGGAACCCGGAGGTGACGTAGAAACCCACCACGTTGTAGCGTCACGTGTTGCCTTAGCAACCACCGCCTAACGGAGAGTCGAGTCTCAGAAGGGGTCGGCCACTCCCTCCCTCAGTTGCAGATCTGAACCTGAGCCCGTCTCCACCTTGAAGATCAGGGTCTCTCCTCCACTCCAGCCTCATCAGCTGCCCCCGAAACTGGGTGGAACCCAGGCTCCGCGGCCCAGAAAGCAGCGCCACATCAGGTTAGGTTCCAAAAAGGACACAAAAGTGAGACCCGCTGTTTCCGCGAGGGACGTCGGGAAATGTAGTCCGGAGCAGAAAAGGCGACAACGCTGATTTCTGCTAGACCCACTTGAGGTCCATAGATGCCACGCCCCTTTGCCCTAGCCTCCCACGCCGAACTCTGATTCTCCAGAGAACAGTTGTAAAGTTCCAAATCCTTTGTGTTATTTTGTACGTGTAATAGGACTTGAACTTTATTTTTTATTTTTTGGGGGGTCCGGTTGTGGGGCCTGAACTCTGGGCCTGGGCTCTGTCCCTCAGCTCTTCAGCTCAAGGCAAACGCTCTACCACTTGAGCCACAGTGCCACTTCCGGCTTTTTTCTTTTTGCTTATGTGGTGCTGAGGAATCGAACCCAGGGCCTCAGGCATGCAAGGCAAACGCTCTACCACTGAGCCACCTTCCCAGCCCAGGACTTGAACTTTATAAAAGATAAACTACCAAAATATAAATTACTGTTTAAACAAAAACAAAAAATGTAATTTCAGATTCATAGCATATATGATCACAATACCACTAGGGATAGGAGAAAAATAAATTGCGGTTAAGATTTCCATGTAGGTCTGGGAAGGTGGCTCAGTGGTAGAGCGCTTGCCTTGCATGCCTAGCCTTGAGCTGAAGAGCTGAGTTCAGGCCCCACGACTGGACCCAAAAAAAAGATTTCCATGTACTATGTATAGTAAAATAATAGTAAAAGAAATACGGTGTTGTGATAGGACAAAGTAAACAAGACTCGAGAAACAAAGGACCTCTGCTGGAATCATTACTAAATGACCCCATGCTGCTGACCACATATATGTATATTATGGTATATATGTGCACATCAGAGGGAAACTAGGAGGAGGACACAGAAACCGAGGGAAACGGGAAAATATACAACAGGTCCCATCAGCTTTACTGAACATTGATCAAAACGAACTAATCAACTCAATGGCAGCGTTGGGAGGGAGGGAACCTGCAGGAAAGAGGGAACAACTGACACTAAACAGAAGGAAAGAAATGTACATATCACCCGATGTGGAAGAAATCTGTATTGTCAAAGCTTATAGAACTCATAAACTTTATAGAACGTAGACAATTTGCCCCATAAAGGTTAGAATGTATTTGTGACTTTAAGTATCACTATCCCAAAATACTGTGAAATTTACATAATCACTTAATCACAAAAAAATGCAAAAAAAAGAAATACAGTGTTAAGTAAAATATGTACTATATGAAAAGCAACTATGAAACTAACAACAATCGTTGCTGAAGATGCAAAGTCTATAGACTGCTGTAAGAGACAGGTGTTGCTGGGCGCTGGTGCTTTACACCTGTAATCCTAGTACTAAGAAGGCTGAGATCTGAGGACCACGGTTGAAAGCCAGCCCTTTTGTTGTTGTTGTTGTTGGTAGTGGGGCTTGAACTCTGGGCTTGGGCTCTGTCCTTCAGCTCTTCAGCTCAAGGTGCGCGCTCTACCGCTTGAGCCACAGTGCCACTTCCGGTTTTCTAGTGGTTTATTGGAGATAAGAGTCACAGACTTTCCTCCCCGAACTGGCTTTGAACCGCGATCCTCAGAACTCAGCCTCCTGAGTAGCTAGGATTACAGGCGTGAGCCACTGGCGCCCGGAGTCCATGTGACTCTAATCTCCAATTAACCACCAGAAAAGAAGTGGTGCTGTGGCCCAAGTGGTAGAGCGCTAGCCTTGAGTTGAAGAGCTGAGGGTCAGTGTACAAGCCCGGAATTCAAGCCTCAAGAATGAGAGGGGGAGGAAGAAGGGGGAGAATGTACTGCTGATATTTGTGTGTATGTTGGGGGGGGGGGGGGCTCAGTCGTGGGGCTCGAACTCAGAGCCTGGGCACTGTCCCTGAGCTTTATCCGCTCAAGGCTAACACTCACCACTATGAGCCCCAGCGCCACTTCCGATTTTCTGGTGGTTCATTGGTGATAAGCCTCAGGACTTTCCACCAGAGCTGTCTTCTAACCATGATCCTCAGATCTCAGTGGCTAGGATAAGCGCCCGGCTTTGACATTTGGTTAGTGGTAGAGTGCTTGCTTAGCATGCATGAAGCCCTGGGTTCGATTCCTCAGTACCACATAGGCAGAAAAAGCCGGAAGTGGAGCTGTAGCTCAAGTGGTAGAGTGCTTCAAACCCCAGGATGGCAAGGGGGGGGGGGGAGGGGAGCGTTAAACAGCCTGTCATGCAAAATGGAACCCTTTACAAAGCTATTATTTGAGTTGAAACTCTTACAAACAATGCAACACCCAAATGATTGCGAATTTGCACAATCCTCAGTCACTGGGCCTCTAGGAGTCTAAATTTCATAAACTCCAGACTCCAAATCCCATGGCACCTTTGTCACAGTCACATGAAGTCGCTAAGAGATTCGGGCGGACTTAGCCTCCACGGATGCCAGATCTTCGTCCACCTTCCCCTAGGAAAGATAAGGGTGGGGAGGGGGCGGGAAATCATTTCGCAGTGGAGCCCTGACACGCCGGAACTAAACAGACTTGAACATTGCTTCCCACTCGGACCAGACAGTCTAACCCTGGGATTACCACAAATGAAGTGCCGCTTTTGCAGACAATTCGTTCCTGGCCGCGGAGGCCTCTGGGAAATGTAGTCTCGAGGAAGAAAGCGACGGACCTTTTCCATTCTTCTGGGTACCAAGTTGTTCAGGTCCTCAGGCTGACCTCTTCAGAAAAGCCTTGGGCTTATCCTCCCGTGCAGACTGGTGGGGGGGAAAGGCCCGTATTCCCACGTCTAGCCCATTGGCTGGTCCTGCCAGGAAGCAACCGCGGGGCATTCTGGGAAACGTTGCCTCACGTCTAACTGTCCGACGCCCCTGCTGTCTCAGCCCGGGGCAGAGGGGTCCTGGGCGCCGCCCGGCTGCAGCTGCACGGGCTGTGTGCCTTGGGCGAGGATGCGCTGTGGAATCGGGACCTGTGTCTGATGGTGAGTTCTCCGGGCGCCACCCGCTCCGAACCTGGGACTCTTTGTGTCCAGTGGAGGTGGAGGCCTGGGGACCCACCGCAGGGTTGGGTGCGGAGGACAGACTAGGAGTGCTCCACGGATGTGGACGAGTCCCAGAAGGTGGCGGGCGTAGTTTGTGTTGGTGTGGGCTCTAATTTGCACGTTCCTTTTTGTTTTGTTGTGGATATGGGCGCGATAATGAATGAGAGACTGTGAAGATAGAAGGCAGGGCAGGGTAATAATATGTTTCAGGCTGTGTTTGAACGAGTGCTGCATGTATTCCTTACGTAATTAAAAGTATGTTTTCATATGATACATCCGTAGTCCTAAGACATGAATATTTGCTTACTCTTAGCTTTATTTTCGTGTTAGCAAGTTATATATGCATGTGTAATTGACTGTTCTTGCTCCCCATCCCATTGCCGAAATCGAAAAATACAGAAAAGCTAAAAGAGCAAACGTTCATAATTCTACGGGCCATACAACTATTATCAAAATTTAATATCCTTAGCCGGATGCCAGCGGTTTATGCTTGTAATCCTAGTTGCTCAGGAGGAAATCTGAGGATCGTGATTCAAAGCTAGCCATGGCAGAAAAGTGTGTGAGACCCTTATTGCCAATGAATCGCTAAAATGCTGCTGTGGAACTGCGGTTCAAGTGGAAGAGCGCTAGCCTTGAGGGGTAGGGGGAACTAAGGGA